AAGTATAACTCTCCTCTTTATCCCCTGTAGTTGTCAAACTGCAGTGGGATGAGCTGATGTTAGAATCTGAGAAGGTGTGTTTGTTTCCAAGTTCAACAACTGCATGAATTGTTTGGGGAACCTTTTCTATGGGGAAGGTAAAGAGGGGGACAACAGACTTTAAAAATTAGAGAACATTTTTTCATGAATGGTCATCCATCCACAAGGGAAAAAACCATTAAGGAGTCAATAGCAGGCAGGGTATAAGAGGAAGAATAGTTAAAGATCATTTTTTATGCTTTGGGGAAAAGTCTTGGAGATGCACTTATAAACAAAGCAAAAGATAGTTTTGCTGCAAATCCCAGCATAGACCAGTTAGGTGTCCAACCCTCTATGGCAGTGTTTCTCAATCTTGGCAACTTGAAGACGTGTGGATTTCAACTCCCAGAATTCCCCAGCCAGCATGGCTGGCTGGGCAATTCTGGGAGTTGAAGTCCACATGTCTTCAAGCTGCCAAGTTTGGGAAACACTGCTCTATGGGAAAAAGAGAGAGTGAGAAGTAGGCTTCCCTCTCTTTCATCTCTTACATCACAGAACTTCTGCCATGTGTAAAAAACATCAACTGTCTATCTCCCTCCCTTAGGATTCCCTCAGATAGTCCACAGCTCTTCTTTATAGCCAGCCACACCTCACTTTTTAGTGGGCCCTTCACCTGAATGCCAACACTGTCTCTTTCATACAATACACCCACTTGACTTTAACAGGTCATGATGGCACTCCTTGCTCCTCCCTCAGCAGATCTTGTACCACCACGTGCTGTATCAGGAGATCCCAAGTTGGGCTGGATGATATGGTTAGGTTCTGTCGTTAAAACCATACAGATTGTTTTTAAGTTGTGGAGACTGGGACTTAACTAAAAGGACCACAATCTGGTTTCACCATCCTATTTCATGTTTGAAACCAAAGCTAACCCATTTCCTTCCCTTTTTACTTTTCACCCTTGACCCACTGTTCATATATTGTAATTATCTTATTCCTTTCTACTAGGGATGATCATGTTTTTCTGACAAAGGCCACATTTTCTTGGGGACAATTTAAAAGGGCACAGCCAGGCTAGTAATGGTTGGAGCCACAGCCTGGGAGGAAATCTTTTTTACTTCTTGCCAGCCCCTTGCACTCTTCCTTCCTGTCATCTGCCTCTCTGCCCCTGACCTTTCCCACCCAACAGGCTGCAGCCACACACCAGCCTTTTGTAGTTAGACTGACAGTTGATTTGTCCATCCCTGTGGTACATTTTGTCCCCATGCTGAGAACAAAGAATGGGTTGTGCTGATTTCTTTGTAGCAGACACTGTCTACATCCTGATGTTGGGAAACACTTTCACCTCTAGAATTTTTTTTTTCCAACCCCTCCAGAGAAACTACAGTAACTTTACTGCTCGGTCTTTCAGGGCTAATTATTACTAGCCAACCAAGTTATACAACTATGCCTGAAAATTTGCCACAGCACATCCAGGCACTGCTACATCATCAGCATTTCCACTACCCAGTCCCTCAGACCTTGTCTTGCAATGGCCCATGGTTGTCCTCAATGCAGCTCTTGTAAGCATTCATCAGAGTTGACCAACACTCCCTTCAGGTGGCCAATCAAGGAAAGCTGAAATTAGCCTCCTGCCCAGATCACTATCCCCATCTTGGCACTGCAACACTGTTTTCACACAGCAAGTCAAAGCAGAGAACTGTCATTGGCTGCCCAGAAACTCTGAGGCTTCATGTGAAGGAAGCTGCAATTTTCAGCCATTAGCCAGAACATCAGTTCAGCTGCTCAGCAAGGACATTAGCATGGGAACCTACAGGTGTAGCATCACTGTAGTAGTGATACTAAAGCATTATGTTGAAAGGCCCTTCACTCTCTACCTTCTATCCCTGTGTCCCTCTTTCCTGACTGCTGTAGATGCCTGGCCAACATATAAAGGTCTCATGATCAGAGGCAGTGATGGTGGAGTGGGAGGAGTTGTTTACAGTCTTTCCTAATCTTCAGGCGATTTCTTCACTTTTACAACCAGTAACAAATTAACTTTCACTTTATCTTTCTTTTGTGCTTTAGTGGCTCTGTCCTGCCTTTGGCGTCACTCATTTAACTTACAGAGAATTAGGATGGACAGAAAACCTATTTGGTTTTTGTCAGCATTTTCAAAGGTTAGGTTCTGAGCTGTGCTATATGAAGGTAAATGCTTTTGAAAATGAAAATTATTGCATCCCATTTTTATTTCTGGGAGTTGAAGGCGACCTACAGGAGATTTCTGGATAAAATCAGTCAAACCCAAATCTGTGGAGCCCTATCAATTAACATAGACCATTCCCTGAGGCTAGAGAATGATTTCCAGTGTTTTCTAGCATCACTACTTTAAGGGGGGGGGGAATACTTAGTAAAAATAATTCAATATATGAAGTGCAATTGTCACTCGAGTAGTATAGTGACTTAGTAACTGAACCAAAACTCAGGAAGTCTATAATTCAGACTTTTACTTCAGAAAGTAATCTTAGATAAAGTTACAACTACTCTCAATCTGCCATTTGTAATACAATATTGTTTTAAGAATTATGCTATCCTCAGGGATAGGAACATGATGTTTTGTGTTTCAGTTCCTAAGAGTCCCAGCCAGTATGGACAATAGCAAGAAACCGGGAGCTATACATCCAAACTTCTGGAGACCTCTGTATTAGATGGTTGTATGGAGCCAGACTTACATGGGTTTTAGGGCTAGGCTTTTAAATTAGAACTAACTTGTTCAACTAAATTTGAACAGAATGTAAGTGCTAATAATTTAGTGGCTCTAGCTCAGTTTGAAGCAATAAGCCCTATACATTTTATTTTTGTAGGCTTTTAGAAACCTTAGGCACATCTCAGACTTCCACAAACAAGTTTTAATTGATTGAGACTGCATAAATCAGCCCATGAGGAAAATTAATTGTATTGAAGGGAGAAATCTTTTTAGATGAGACAGATCTATGTTACAACAAGTATCTGCTTGGATCTAGTTCTTCAGCACTGCAAATGTGTGACAAATCTTCAGCATTAGTATTAAAAACAGCTTTAAGAACTTGCAAAATTTGTTACCTAATTATTTGGAGCATTGGTGACATTTTGCTTATCAACAAGGAATCAACTAGAATTCCTCTTGAGACATTTGAATGCACAGGTTATGTATTTTGAGTGGTACAGCCTTGAATAACTTTTGATTACAACTTTGTTCTTGATGTACATGAGTATGTACTGTATACATGTACATTACACACAAGATCTTTACAGGTTCATGCTTCATACTTTATACATGCTGAGCAAGCCACTTTTTTATCCCATGCTTTTTGATTTAACATTATGGATGAACACAGCCAATTGTGGTTTATTTGGAACACCATGGTTAAAAGAAACTAGTCTTAATGTGTGTGAATCCAGCCCATTTCTGCATCATTTTCCTCACTCTGAATCCATAAGCGTTTCCACCATGCCACGCTGGTTGACAGTGAAGAAATATACAGGAACTAAAATCCCTGGATTTAACATGAATTGATCTGCTTTCATCTTAGAAATAACTTCTGTCTGTGAATGGTTAGAAAAGATTTTTGTATTTATTTTTTTAAAACATGAATAAAGAAATACAGGTCTGTTTCCATTGGAAGGCAACAAAAATTAATATACTGTACTAGAAGATGGCATGTAGTAAATCTACATCCAAAATAACTTCCTCCAACCTTGATACATAAAACATTGGTGCAGTTGGAGAAGCAGTCCTGTAATTTACATTGTTCATATAAAATATTGTGATTTCATGGAATCAATATTATTTACACAATAATTTAAAGAAAAATTATTCAGCCCATCATTATAATAAATTACATAGCATAATAGGGTCGTGTTTGGCAAAATTACAATACTTAGAGACACTGACTGTGTGCTGGCAGGGTGCTTATTTTGGCATCTGTCATAAAAGGACTAGATCCTAAGTAGCAGCCTATAAATGATGGTCAATTAGCAGTAAATTGGCTTGTTTCCAGTAAGAATCTGCCTTGAGCCCTTTTTGGCAGGGATTACTTCAGCTGTCCTTTATATGCTGACAAAGAGATGACTCCACAAAATTTGTGTTCATCATAAACAAGTATTTCTACAAACTATCCTTCTACTTTTTAAAAGCAAGAACTAGAATGCCACAGGTTACTACCCTGTTCTCTAAAGCCACCAATGTCTTTCCAACAATTCTGAGGAGTTATATGATTCTTCAAGAAACATATTAGAATTGTAAGCAAATTTCCATACAGTTGAAATAAAGGAGGAGGTCTACCTTTAGCATCCCCTAGCCAATCTCGGCTGATCTTGAAAAGCTAAGCAGAGTGGGCTTGATCAGTGTTTGAATGGAGCACACCAGGCAATACTAGGGCTGTAGACTAGATTTGGGGAGTTAAAAAAAAAAGGAAACTACTGTAGATGGATATGTTCATGAAGTCACCAGGAATCACACTCAGCTCTAAGAAGATGTTTACCTTTGGCAATACCTTAGTACCTAAGCATGTACTTTACACGCAGAAGGATCTGGGTCTAGATGTTTTAAGGGTAGCAGAACTGGGAAATACTTCCTCAAACTCAAGATAGCTGACACTAGTAAGAAGGGAAAGCTGATTCAATATACCATTTTTCTGATGCCTTACAAAGCAACCCAGTATTGCACATCAGGAGAGCATGGAATGAATTCTCAACTCACATGGGATGAGAGGTTCAATGAGGTATGGTCCGAATCTGCTTAATCCCAGTATGCTGTTCAGAATAAGGAATCTGCAGTATTTCAGGCTCTCAAACGTTTAACAATAGTAACTTCCAAAGCCAGTTTGGCATAGTGGTTAAGGCATTAGGCTAGAAACTAGGAGACTGTGTTTCTAGTCCCACCTTAGTGACCTTGGACTAGTCACTTTTTCTCAGCCCTAGGAAGGAGGCAAGGGAAAACCACTTCCAAAAAATCTTGCCAGGAAAACTGCAGGGACTTGTCCAGGCAGTCGCCAGGAGTCAAAACGGTCTTGAGCACAAGAAACAAAACACATTCCAAACAACCCCCTCCCATTATATTGCTAAAATGAAGAAAGCTTTGGAGTGCCTTCCCCAACTTGATGCCCTTCAGATATGTTGGGATGGTAACTCCTAGAAGGCTGACTAGGAATTCTGGGAGTTGCAGTCCCAATATATTTGGAGGAAATCAAGTTGGTAAAATGGATTGGAGTAACCTTGTATAAAAAAAACTGAGCACAGGTTGATATTGGTACTCAAAACAGCTTGGGGGCTCAGAATTCTTTAATTCTAAGGGTATATGTTTGGAATCAGGCTTCAACTGGTGGATCTCAGGGTAGTACAGTAGTTAAAAATACAATCATATTCTGCAAGTCTGAATCAATCCCCAGTCCAATGTTACCAGGTAAACACTGAGGAGGGTGGTGGATCACCTTATGGCATCTTTAAAATTGTCCTGTGAGTTAAGCCTACATTTTTCTAAGAAACTGAAATGGCTGTTCATCAGAGAGAATAATTTGACTACTACTATCCTAAGATAAACTGAAGCAAACCATGGGGCCTTAATCGTCTGAGTGACTTTTAGTTCTTTTTCAACTTCTTTGATTTAACTCCTAAATGTCAAATTCTGGCTTGTTAAATGTTGATTACTGAAGAAGAAATCATTGCAGGGTCTGTTTCTGTCTGCCTCCTGTGGCAGCTGTCAGCTATAAGAAAACTTCAGGTAAATGTCATAGCAATCCAAGTATAGCCTTAGGATCATATACAGAGCCCTTTCTGTAAACTGCAAGTTCTGGTGAAGAAGTGCGGTTGGTCCATATAGAGACCAACCTGTTTGGCAGTGCTGAGATCAGGTGCAGGTTCATTGGCATCTCATTATTGTCCCCTCGGTTGTTTGCAACATCATTGTGAATAGGAAGGGGGAGAAAGCCATTTGCTCATTTGATAGGACATTCACCAAAACATGCATTTCCATCATCACTAAATTCTGTTTGGATCCATTTTTTTCTTGAATAGAACTGAATGGAATTCTCTCTTGGACAGAGAACAGGGAGCCCCAGGTTCAACAGAGCACTTTGACACAGAGGCATGTCCTCCCTCTTTCCCCTCCTAGCAAAGGGCAAATCTTGTGCTCTCAAAAACCATCAGACAAGGCTGAAGGAATGATCTGTCAATGTCTATTAGTCACAAAATCTTCATATGCAGAGGCAGTGGGCTTGAGTGATAGATCCTGAAGTTAGCAAAGAAGATACAGTACAGTGTTAGAGGAAAAGAATGCTTAACTAGATGCAACAAGGCAATACTTTGTTCAGCATGAGGGTGCCTCCTCACAGAAACCACTAATCTACCAGATGGACAAAATATTAGTATACAACAACTGTGCTTGAAGAGAGCAGACTTTCATCATTTAGTGTTATAGACCGCTAGAGACAGTGGAAGCCTATGAGCCTAGACTTTACTTGTAGTATTTCCCGAAGGCATTGGAGCAGGCAGTAACAATGCTGTGCTTCAGCTACAACAAGTTCAGAGTCTCTGCATCTTCGTCGTTTTCCTGTAAGGATCAAGCCTGTCTGGAAATGTGTAACTCCATAATGTCACAGAAAGAACTGTTTAGAGATGCTCCAGTGAATGTGGCTTGATTCTCTCTACCATTCAGTCGGCTGCCTCCTTTAAAAAAAAGCAGATTTGTAGAGAAAGAGGGGGAAAAAAGTAGTGGCAGTGACAAAACAGGCAAGTCAGTGCAATTTTTGAAATAGTCACCAACAGATCTAAAGTTTGACATCTGGCTCTCTTTGGGAAGAATGAGGCTTCCATTGAGGCTAGTCTGTAAGTTCCACAGCACTCAGGTACAGCCGCTTGTGAAGATCACTTCTTATTTCCCCCCATGTAATTTCCAAATAAGAAAATAACACATTTTTGCCCTGGGAAATCCCCATGAATGTTCCACCTCCAGAGTGATTGAGATGAGAATGAGAGAGTTTTTTTTCTCCATATCATGGTCTATGAGTCATCGATTCCTCATTCAGCTGGATGCTAAATGACCTCTTGCTTTGTGATGGTGGGCTGAGGGACTGAACTGGGCTGTTTGGCTACAGTTGCGATGGCCCCCGGAAGAAGTTTGTATTGTTCAGCTCCAGAGCCAGCTGGGGGAGAAGGCTGGGGAGTTTCCGGAGTGGCTATGGGAAGAAAGACTTTGTTACAAAATAAACCATTGGACAGACTTGGTCAAGGCACAAATATTTTTCATATATAATCCTATGTACGTTAATTCAGAAGTACATTCTACAATGTACCATGTGGGAAAAATCTAACATGCTGTACATAATATGACAATAACTTTATTACAATGAAAATGAGATGAACATGTGTGCAAGCTTTCAGGTTCTTCAGGATTATTCATCAAACAAGATATTGCAAGAAGCAGAAAAGCCCAGAAACTAAGCTGGTATTTCAGCCATGAGGTCTACAGTAGATGGAAACTGCAGATTAAATACGTTAGGAGAGGTAGCATTGGTGAAGCCTCCTTCCACCTAACACTTTTGACAAAGATTAATGCCTGATCATCTTAGTTTGGGTGTTCCTAATTTTGTCTCTGGTAAGGATGAACTATACCGGCCTCTGGTTTAGCCGAGGGCAGAATTAAAGTACCCTCAGAGTCTTTTGATCAGCAAAGCTGGAAAATAATTTTATTTGGTGCACTAGGGTAATTTCCTACAAGATATGCTGCGAGCTGCATAGGTTTTAGCTTTCAGATATGTTTGCTATGCCAAAGTACAATGTCTACTAGACAGAATGAATATAGAATAAGACCACTAAAGCTCATGAATTTATTACTGCAAAATGTAGTCTTCATAGTGAGTGCTAAAAACTACATTGCAAGCAGGGGCCAAGAGTCTGTGGCCATTCATCTTGTTTGGACTCTGACTACCATCAGCCACAACCAATGTGGCCAGATAATGTCTACTGAATACAAAATGCCCTCATTGCCAGCTACTTTTATATTTATTTATCTGTTAGATTTATACCCCACCTGTCCTCCAGGAGCTCAAGCAACATACATAGTATTCCCTCCTTCTTATTTGTGAAGTAGGTTGAGCTGAGAGAGAGAGTGCTAGCTTAGAGTTACCCACTGAAATTAAATGGCTAAAGTAGACTTCAGTCATAGTCCAGCACTTCAAAGGGTCGGGCAAAGTAGAGAAGGGAAAATAAAAGAAGCAGGGAAACAGCCAAAGTAGGGAGATGCCTACAATGCCAACTCAAAGTTAAACAGGCTGAGAATAGTTCTAAATAACCTCAAACAGAAACTTTAAAAAAGATCCCCCACAAAATCTGCATTATGAGGGATTCAGATTCCCCAGATGTTCATTACCCAAGCTTACAGATACTCTTCTTCACTCAACCAGGAATATTCTTTACCAAGAAAAACTTTTTACTTGGAGGTCTAATTCTCACTACAGCCAAATATGCAGCCAATAGGCTTTCAGCCCCACTAGGTAAACCAGACCGGAAAATCAACTCCACAGGCAGACTAGAACTACACTGATTGTGCTGTACCTCTCCTGCTTCTTATACCCAGTGAATCAGGGAGGCATTTCTCTGAGCCACTTCCAAATATTATCTTGTTTTCCAGGATTTATAGAATGCTTCAGCCCTCTTAATGGTTCTTGCACCCCCCTTAACTCTACAGAGGCATAAATGGTGGGGATATTGGTCACCAGGGCAAGGCTACCACGTATAGCCTCCCCACATGATAAGGAAGTGGAATAAGATCTGGGGGTACTTTTCTTATGGACACTGCAGTAAAATATTTCCTTCAAATAATAAAATAATACATCTGACTCTCTTTAGTATCTATGAAGAGCTGCTACTAGATAGTGTAGCTTTCTTCAAGATGGTGTCTTCCAGAAATGTTGTACTTCATTTCCCACAATTATCATTCACTATGGTCTATAGAAAGAGGAGAGTGCGAAAGCTGGCTTGAAACTCAACATTAAAAAAACTAAGATCATGGCATCTGAACCGATCAATTCCTGGCAAATAGAAGGGGTAGAAATGGAAGCAGAAACAGACCATTTATTTGAGTTCCAAGATCACCGCAGATGGAGACTGCAGCCATGAAATTAAAAGATGCTTGCTCCTTGG